TTTTTAACGCATTCTTCCTTTGTTCCTTTGAGTAATACGTAATTTTTAATTTTATTTTTGAAGCCACTTCTGAGGAATTGTATCAGTTGTTATCATTGTTTCAACAATCCATCTCTACTTTGTTCTATTCTCTGAGGTCCGCTTGAGCTGACCCCACGATGACCCATATTCTGTCATCGCCTCCTCACACGATCTTCTCCATACCACCGTCAGTCACACGCCCAACTAACCGTTTCTTATCTGCGTTCCACTCGAGCATTGGTCTGGCGTACAGTGTCACTGAACGGTGTCCTCAGCGTGTTTCCAATCTATCTCCATCCGTTTTCTTCGGAATATTTGTTAAGCAACAGGTACTTGGTTGGTTCGCTCCCAGAGTTTCTTGTCATTGATTCCTCCTCCCGACTGATCTTTAATATGGAGGGAAATAGGAAGTCATTGACAAAAGACTGTAGAGACCTGTTAGAAATGGTTTTAATGATGCGTATAAGAGAACTGAAAGACTTAACATAGGTGTTGGAAATTCGATTTTTGTCCTTTATGTTGAGTAGAGAAGATTCCCAAACTGATTGGACAGAGCGACTAAGGCCTGTCTTGCCTTTCGAATTCTGACTGGTTTTGACATCTCCCCACCCACCCGTGTCATCCGCCTGTAGTTGATACGATACTGCCTTGATAAGTGAAGAAAAGGACCACTTTCAAATTTCGTCTTTTAATATTGATTATTGCTTGTTGTTATCGTTGTTGGTTGGTTATCTTTCTCACCTTCGCCTTATTTATGTTCACCCGGACTCCTATGTTTGCTGTCGGTGTCCTCTGCTACCAACTTTATTGTTTTTTGCTTGTTAAGCAATATGAATACCAAATATTCATCAACCTTGTTCCGAATTCTCTTCATCTCTATCACTGAGTTCAGCACTATTTATCATTTTGCCTTCTATAAAAGTGCTCAAACTTAAATAAAATTATATTTGAATCGGTGCTTGCATGTATATATGCGTATAACTTCATTGGTGTGTATAGAATCATCACTTTCAACTTGATTTTCAAATCCACTCCATTCAATCAATTTTTAAAATTAAATTGTCAAAGCGCTTTATCTGTTTGTTAAGTTGTCATTTTCTAGTTCTGTTTTCCATATAGAATAAGTCAACAATTCTTATGAGTAAGTCTCAGAAATCGATTGAAGTAAATTTTTTGTGTGACTTGATGTTGAAGAGAATAGTGATCTAAACAAACGATCCGATCCCAATGATCCTGTAGTATAGTATCCAATCGGGTATTAATGCATAATGAATGGTGTTCGGGAATTATGGAATTTTTTTTGAATAGTTAACATGTAGATATTTGATTTGTTTCAAGTTTGATCACCAACTGATGTTAACTAGAGAAGTATTAAAAACCCACAGGAAGTACTAGACGACTGTTTTGTCCCAGTTGGGAACTCTTCATCAGTATGTCCTGGGTTGACTATTCATACACTGGGATCTGATGCGATGAATTGTCCATGAATTGCAATTTCTACCAAGGAATACATTTCATTCTGTCTTTGAAATATAAGAGAAGTTTTGTTGCTCGCGTGGATTGGTTTTGATGTGATTGTATTCTATTTGCTGGGAGCTTCAAATGGCTGACTTCCATTGTCTATGTAGACAATATATCCAGTGCCAACTTCTATTTTGAAATTCTACCTGCTTAACATATACTCCATCGCCTTCCTCGACTTGCAGCGTTAGATGATATAGGGTTATGTCGGAAAAGGGTTATGGTGGTCAAACCAAACCTCCGAGTCTGTCTATGAAATCTTTGACGGTTATTTTGTCTGGTGTACATCCTCGTGATGGCAAAAACCAATGAAGTCTGGGGATAATGAGTGATATGGCTACGAGTTCTGTGTGCTGAAACCAGTTAATCAGTCATCGTAAACTAACAGCACTGCTATGCAGGACTTGTAGTTATTCTTGCGGAGCGTTTCGATGAAAAAAGCTTGTTTTCTGTTTTGACACGTTGTCAAACGTTTTTGCTTTAACGAATTTAGTGTTAATAATTAAGTAAATTTGCTTGGTTTACTTTGGTTAGGTGTTTTATATAATAGGTTGTTCGCCTAGATCGTTTCTATCCTTTAACTTTTCCCGTATTGTTTTTAATCAATTTGCCAGTGATCCTTAGCCTTGTTGTCTGTCTGTCTGTCTGTTTTCAACATAGAACTTAGCGCCGGTGTGCAGCAGCTCAAGCCACCACACTCCCTCCATGTTGCACACAAAACAAGAGTAGAAAGTGGAAGAAATGTATCATAGAGACAGTAGACAGGGATATGAGACAAAGGAACAGTAATAACAAAGAACAATTCAGTTTCATTCGAGTGGATGGATCTGCTCTAGCCATTGACAACTATATTGATTGTCTCCAGCCGACATTGGTTCTTACCATCGCGAAGACCACAACCAGGAAATCTACACCTTCCTACGTGGCTTAAACTAACTGTTGTGGATTTCATTGTTTTCGTTTGATCGCCACTAGCTTTCTCTTTTTCAGTCTGACCCTATGTCAGCTAACATTGCCCATCGGTCGAGGGAGGCGATGACTAGGTATATGTAACATATGTCTTAGCCATCTTAGTCGATGTAGCTTCACAGCCTCGTCGATTGATTACCCCTCCTCAATTTGCACTCGACCGAAGTCTAACCTCAATACTACTCACTCTATTATACCACTTCACACACACGGAAGACATAACGCAGGCACCTATGATCAAATACAGCTAGCCGGTCTTTTCATGTCTTCCACTCTCAATGGCTATGTCTCACTCCCAGCAATAAAGGGGGACGGAGCGGATTGCTGAGCAGTACACCCTATGCTGAGGGTCTGTTGGCGAAGTCGTACTGCTGGGGAACAGGGTTGTAACAGCAGTGAAGTGTTTCCCTCAGACGACCAGCATGCCAGCTATGCTGTTTCTCCACTCTGGAGAGAGGGGGTTAGAAAAGATCGACCCCCGAAATTGTACATCTTGACTTACCCTACGGTGGTCCGTAACCGGCGGTAAGTTTACTAATACGGAAGCAAACGAAGAAACCAGTTCATACAGGCTTTGTGTGACTGGCCCCAAGCAGTTGTTCCCTGGGCTCTGCAGTCACACAGCACTAACCTCTCTGTTTCAGGTACCCGAAGAATCAACGAACTTCCGGGAAGTAAAAACCGTCCACACACTTCCAAGAGAACACTTCCTTAGCCTTTTTAGTCGGTTTCATCTTGACTCAGTGACTTATTTCACTCTATCTTAACCAATGCAAGTTCACTGTGTTTTGGTAAACATGCTTATTTAGATAAAGTTTCATATCCTGTGATACGGTGAAGTATAAGTAACCGTACAAGTCAAATTCTTCTTGGGAATTTTAATCTGAATTGATCTCTTACAGATGACCGTCCACTACTTAGCTGACTTATTCTGGTGCTGATGATATTAGTCTGTCAGTTTAAAGTATCTCAAAACCAATGCCAAATTAACAATACACCATAGTGTGTGTTATATCTTCTAAGTTAGCAGTCATGCTTCAAAAGTTGTTCGATAAAATTCCATCATCAGTTAAGGACAGCCAGTGATATGAATTGCTTTTTATTATCTCATGATCAGTGGTGGAGAAGCTGAGGCTTATTGGTGTCGACTTTCAACTAGTAGTGGGTGATGCGTTTGAAACCCTCTATCCACCTATCGAGGTTTCGGGGCGGGTGTGTGTATGTGATAGCCAGGTCGTAGTATTGCAACGACAGAAGATGAGGGCCAGACAACGGATCGTTTATTGAGGAAATCAACAGATATTTATATATTTTTACATACATTGTTATTCGTTATTATTAGCAGAGAAACAGCGTCTTCTGATTGGTTGTTTTCTCGCTAAAAGTTATTTTGTAATCTCTTCTTGACCGTTTCTTTGAAGGTCAGACCATATGTCCGAGAATCGTATTTTCACACGCCAAGCCTGCTGTGTTTGGTTGTTGAGTCGCTCAAGGTTAGGCTTTGTTACTGTTTCATCTCGTGACCCCGATTCAGGACGTAAACATTGACGTATATTGGTGTCTACAATTTTGGGTAGCAGACAGCTCTCGCCACAGTGTCACTAGTCATCGTATAGGTGTGGCTTACTACCAACTGCATTGAATTACAAGGAGTTGTAGAGTATTATTATCCCACCTCCGACATCAATTGTAACACCCAGAAGCAACAGACACAATCAGCGAAGGAAGAAGAGGAAGATGCGAGAGGAAGGTCTATATTTCCAGCACGTAGGGGTCGAATTGCCCGGGTACAAGCTAATCATTGTCATTTATAACAAGGTTAGACAATCGGTCCTCCACCTGTTCCAGCACGGCCAGGCCAGCGTTCTTTTCTGAAAAAGAGGAAACAGGAGACTCATTTAGTGATGTCATGTTAGTTTTTATATCATTACATCGCTCCCTCCCCTCTGGAGGCACTGTCCTCAGTGTCTGGCGGCGGTATAGGGTATGCACTACCTCCATCAGTGGGCACCTCGAAGTAGGTCGTAGCGGGTGGCGGTTGCGAAGATGTCGACGGTTCTTTGACAGCTGCTGGACAGTGTGGTTTCAGCTGGTTGTAATGTGCTGAGATGAGATTTTCCTGGGGGCGTCGCAAGTTCCGCAGGACGTATGTAGTTGGAGGTTGGTGCTGTACAATTTCATATGGGCCTTGCCAGGGGGCGTAGAACTTGGGGCACGAACCGGCAGGGACTGACGGCCGATGGAGCCAGACGTAGTCACCCGGGGAATAGGTTGGTCCGTGGGCAAACCGATCATAGTTGCTTTTCTGATGCTGCGAAGAAGACTGCAGATGTCGACGTGCTAGATTGTAGGCTGTGTCGAGGTGGTGACGAAGGTTGCGGACGTAGGGAATACAGTCGATCTTCTCGTATGGTAGCAACGGTGTCCGGATCTCAACAGGAAGGCGAAGTTCATGCCCAAACAAGAGTAGAGCCGGGGAAAATCCTGTCGACGAATGCACGGAGGAGCGGTATGCAAGCAAGCATTGAGGCAGGACATCGTCCCAGGTGTTCTCCGGTGCGTTGTGCAAAAAGGCACGGAGAAGATGCTTGATGGTTCGGTTGGTGCGTTCCACCAGTCCATTCCCTTGTGGATGATAAGGCGTAGTATGGGTCTTTCGAATGCCGAAAGCATTGCAGATGTGAGAGATAAGAAGACTCTCGAAAGCAGCGCCTTGATCAGAGTGTAGATATAGAGGGGCACCCAAACGGGACACCCAGTTGTCGATGAAAGCTCGCCCGATCGTCAAGGCATCTTGTTGCTGCAAGGGAACTGCTTCGCACCACTTGGTGAAATAGTCGACCATGACAAGTATATAACGATTCCCGCGTCTCGATGTTGGTACTGGCCCAATGATGTCGACTCCAACTCGATGATTAGGGGCTTCGGTCAGCATAGGTACTAGGGGTGCTCGGGGAGTTGGCTTAGGCTGTTTGATCTGCGCACATATAGCGCAATTGCGGCAAAACTCCATAACATCGTGGTGAATAAGTGGCCACCAGAAGCGTTGACGGATGGCGTGTTCAGTTTTCTGTTGGCCAGCGTGTCCCAGTTGATGATGTACCTGACTAATAAGCTCGGGTACTTTAACGGTTGGGACGAGGAGTCGGGGGTTGGCATTTGGTTCCACTATGTAAAGAACATCATCTATAAGTCGTAGTAAACCCCACTTATCGCAGATGCACCGCGTGGCTGCTGGTAAATCCCGTAGTTCTTTGGACGTCGGTTTATCGTTCCCATGCTGTTGACGTAAATAAATGGGCTGTATCGTTGTGTCCGCCGCTTGCAGGGAGGCCCAGTCGGTGTCAGCTGCAGCACCGAGTAACACATTCAGTGTGTTCTCGCAATCGGGCAGGCGAGAGAGAGAGTCGGCGTTACCATGTCGTTTTCCAGGCCGGTATTCACAAGTGAAATCAAACTCCTGTAACCGTTCCTGCCAGCGGGCAAGTTGGCCGTCGGCATCACGAAAATTTTGCAACCACTGTAACGCCTTGTGGTCAGTCCGGACTCGAAATTTGCGCCCCAATAAGTAATGACGAAAGTAGGAGAGGAAGTAGACGAGGGCTAGCATCTCACGTCGCGTCGTAGAATACCGCGTCTCTCTTTTGTCTAGCATTCGACTAGCATATGCTATCACTCGTATTTGTCCGTCAGAGGTTGTTTGCGAGAGAACGGCTCCTATTGCATGTGCACTGGCGTCGGTATCCAGAATGAAGGGGCCGCTACCAGCCGATGTGTCTGGAAACGATAGGACAGGGGGAGAAGTTAGACATTTTTTAAGCGTGTCAAAGGCTACCTGGCACTCATTTGTCCAAACGAATTTCCGTCCTTTTTCTGTCAATCGATGGAGAGGGGCTGCTATACTGGCGAAATTCTGGACGAAACGCCGGTAATAGGAGGCGAGTCCCATGAAACTGCGTACGTCAGCGGTCGATTTAGGGGTCGGCCAGTTAACAACTGCTTGAGTTTTGCTGCTATCCGTATGTACTCCTTGTGGAGTAATCTCATGTCCAAGGAAAATAACAGATTTCTGCAGGAATTTGCATTTTGAGGCTTGCAGCTTAAGGTTACTCTCGCGTAAGCGTTGAAATACGGCGCGAAGGTTGGCATGATGGTCTTCGAGAGACTGGCCGAACACGATGATATCGTCCAGGTAGATGAGGCACTGTTTGGGGACTAGCCCTGCAAGTACTGTTTGCATGAGCCGTTGAAACGTAGCAGGGGCGTTAGACAGGCCAAATGGCATGGTTTCGAATTCGTACAGCCCCGTAGGCACAACGAACGCAGTTTTGGGGCGGTCTTCTGGGCGAATTTCAACTTGCCAATAATCGGAAGCGAGATCTAGTGTGGAAAACCACTGTGCCCCACCTAAAGCATCTAAGGTAGCGTCGATGCGAGGCAAAGGAAAAGAATCCCGTTGTGTGATTGCATTTAAGCGGCGATAGTCGACACAGAGGCGGAGAGAACCATCTTTCTTTTTCACAAGAACGATTGGAGATGCCCACGGTGACGTAGACGGTTTAATCACCTTCTTTCGTAACATATCTGTTATCATGGTATCCAACTGCTGTTGGTAATGAATGGGCACTCGTCGCGGTGGCGTCCTAATGGGCAAGTTATCACCTGTCTGAATCTCGTGCTGTACGATATTAGTCCGCCCCATCACTTGCCCATCGTCAAATACATCACTGTACTCCTGTAGCAGGGCCAGGGTGTCGGTACGGTCTTTTAGACTGAGGTGGGGGTTATCATGGATGTTCACCATTGTCATCTGGGTAAAGCACAAGCATTAGCACTCTGGTTGCGGTTGACTGGTCGGTAAAATGCGAGGTTATGTGTCCCCAGCCGAATTCGAAAGCGTCTTAGGTCAATGACAGCGTTTTTCCCAGTTAAGAAGTCCACGCCCAGTATGGCGTCCCATCGTATAACATCACAAATGACGAATGACTGAACACAAGTAAAACCTGGGAACGTCACGGAAAGTGTGGCCATGTCGGTTACCTTGATAGGGGCTCCATTGGCGGTAATTAACTGGAGCTGATTGGGGAGAGGTTTAGGTTTGACCCCAAGTGTCTGGACCAATTGCGTGCGAACAACAGAGGATGATGCCCCGGTGTCCACCAGAAAAGTGACGTCAGTGCCCTGGAGTTTACCTTCAAGGAGGAGGGGAGATTTCGAGCAATTATCAAATAATGACACATCAGAACATGGCTCACCTTGTGGTTTTTTGTTATGCCCACATTTCCATGCTCGCCGCCCGAACCGGCGACAGTAATAGCACTTACTGGGGTCATCATGCCGTTGGGACGGAATTGGAGGTTGGTTTGACGATGGAGCATTAGGCCGGCGTTGTCGTGGTGCTGGGACGGTTGTTCTTCGCTCGGTGGTCCCGAGAGCATAGCAGGGCGTACTGGCAGTTGGAGTGAGAATATGCTCGACGCTCTCAAATCGCTTTACCACCTCAATGGCCTCTGAGACTGATTTTGCTGGCTGGCGTAGAAGTTGGCACTTGAGCTCATATGATGAGACACCTTGGGCAAAACGGCTACAGATAACATCATCTCGGTTCGGGTTGGGAAGGTTGGGAAATGCGCGCGATGCCATCTCGCGGAGTTGATGCAGGTAATCGAACGCTGTTTCGTCGGGCTCTTGACAGAGGCTGAGAAAGGTGTGCATGTACACCGAAGGGCTGGAGGTTTTGGCAAAACATTCGTCGAGGACATGCCAGTTGTAGCTGATGGATTTGGACGCGGAGAAGCCCCCAGCGATAGCACGGCGTAGTGCGGTGTCACTCATTGCTAGCATAATCTGAGTATATTGTGCGTGTGGAGTAAGACCGGATAAGAGAGACTCCATGCGAATCTTCCACATTTCATAATCGCTGTTTATGTCCAAAGTTGGTAATCCTCGCACCGGTAAGATGTGTTCTGTGGCTGGGGATTGTGGGTTGACTTTTGGAGTAGAGATGATTTCAGGAGGATCGGAAGAATCTGATTTCATTTCGAGATTGAGTTTTGGACACCTTGGTGTCAGGGGTGTCCAAAACTCAATCTCGAAATGAAATCAGATTCTTCCGATCCTCCTGAAATCATCTCTACTCCAAAAGTCAACCCACAATCCCCAGCCACAGAACACATCTTACCGGTGCGAGGATTACCAACTTTGGACATAAACAGCGATTATGAAATGTGGAAGATTCGCATGGAGTCTCTCTTATCCGGTCTTACTCCACACGCACAATATACTCAGATTATGCTAGCAATGAGTGACACCGCACTACGCCGTGCTATCGCTGGGGGCTTCTCCGCGTCCAAATCCATCAGCTACAACTGGCATGTCCTCGACGAATGTTTTGCCAAAACCTCCAGCCCTTCGGTGTACATGCACACCTTTCTCAGCCTCTGTCAAGAGCCCGACGAAACAGCGTTCGATTACCTGCATCAACTCCGCGAGATGGCATCGCGCGCATTTCCCAACCTTCCCAACCCGAACCGAGATGATGTTATCTGTAGCCGTTTTGCCCAAGGTGTCTCATCATATGAGCTCAAGTGCCAACTTCTACGCCAGCCAGCAAAATCAGTCTCAGAGGCCATTGAGGTGGTAAAGCGATTTGAGAGCGTCGAGCATATTCTCACTCCAACTGCCAGTACGCCCTGCTATGCTCTCGGGACCACCGAGCGAAGAACAACCGTCCCAGCACCACGACAACGCCGGCCTAATGCTCCATCGTCAAACCAACCTCCAATTCCGTCCCAACGGCATGATGACCCCAGTAAGTGCTATTACTGTCGCCGGTTCGGGCGGCGAGCATGGAAATGTGGGCATAACAAAAAACCACAAGGTGAGCCATGTTCTGATGTGTCATTATTTGATAATTGCTCGAAATCTCCCCTCCTCCTTGAAGGTAAACTCCAGGGCACTGACGTCACTTTTCTGGTGGACACCGGGGCATCATCCTCTGTTGTTCGCACGCAATTGGTCCAGACACTTGGGGTCAAACCTAAACCTCTCCCCAATCAGCTCCAGTTAATTACCGCCAATGGAGCCCCTATCAAGGTAACCGACATGGCCACACTTTCCGTGACGTTCCCAGGTTTTACTTGTGTTCAGTCATTCGTCATTTGTGATGTTATACGATGGGACGCCATACTGGGCGTGGACTTCTTAACTGGGAAAAACGCTGTCATTGACCTAAGACGCTTTCGAATTCGGCTGGGGACACATAACCTCGCATTTTACCGACCAGTCAACCGCAACCAGAGTGCTAATGCTTGTGCTTTACCCAGATGACAATGGTGAACATCCATGATAACCCCCACCTCAGTCTAAAAGACCGTACCGACACCCTGGCCCTGCTACAGGAGTACAGTGATGTATTTGACGATGGGCAAGTGATGGGGCGGACTAATATCGTACAGCACGAGATTCAGACAGGTGATAACTTGCCCATTAGGACGCCACCGCGACGAGTGCCCATTCATTACCAACAGCAGTTGGATACCATGATAACAGATATGTTACGAAAGAAGGTGATTAAACCGTCTACGTCACCGTGGGCATCTCCAATCGTTCTTGTGAAAAAGAAAGATGGTTCTCTCCACCTCTGTGTCGACTATCGCCGCTTAAATCCAATCACACAACGGGATTCTTTTCCTTTGCCTCGCATCGACGCTACCTTAGATGCTTTAGGTGGGGCACAGTGGTTTTCCACACTATATCTCGCTTCCGATTACTGGCAAGTTGAAATTCACCCAGAAGACCGCCCCAAAACTGCGTTCGTTGTGCCTACGGGGCTGTACGAATTCTAAACCATGCCATTTGGCCTGTCTAACGCCCCTGCTACGTTTCAACGGCTCATGCAAACAGTACTTGCAGGGCTAGTCCCCAAACAGTGCCTCATCTACCTGGACGATATCATCGTGTTCGGCCAGTCTCTCGAAGACCATCATGTTAACCTTCGCGCCGTATTTCAACGCTTACGCGAGAGTAACCTTAAGCTGCAAGCCTCAAAATGCAAATTCCTGCAGAAATCTGTTATTTTCCTTGGACATGAGATTACTCCACAAGGAGTACATACGGATAGCAGCAAAACTCAAGCAGTTGTTAACTGGCCGACCCCTAAATCGACCGCTGACGTACGTAGTTTCATGGGACTTGCCTCCTATTACCGGCGTTTCGTCCAGAATTTCGCCAGTATAGCAGCCCCTCTCCATCGATTGACAGAAAAAGGACGGAAATTCGTTTGGACAAATGAGTGTCAGGTAGCCTTTGACACGCTTAAAAAATGTCTAACTTCTCCCCCTGTCCTATCGTTTCCAGACACATCGGCTGGTAGCGGCCCCTTCATTCTGGATACCGACGCCAGTGCACATGCAATAGGAGCCGTTCTCTCGCAAACAACCTCTGACGGACAAATACGAGTGATAGCATATGCTAGTCGAATGCTAGACAAAAGAGAGACGCGGTATTCTACGACGCGACGTGAGATGCTAGCCCTCGTCTACTTCCTCTCCTACTTTCGTCATTACTTATTGGGGCGCAAATTTCGAGTCCGGACTGACCACAAGGCGTTACAGTGGTTGCAAAATTTTCGTGATGCCGACGGCCAACTTGCCCGCTGGCAGGAACGGTTACAGGAGTTTGATTTCACTTGTGAATACCGGCCTGGAAAACGACATGGTAACGCCGACTCTCTCTCTCGCCTGCCCGATTGCGAGAACACACTGAATGTGTTACTCGGTGCTGCAGTTGACACCGACTGGGCCTCCCTGCAAGCGGCGGACACAACGATACAGCCCATTTATATACGTCAACAGCATGGGAACGATAAACCGACGTCCAAAGAACTACGGGGTTTACCAGCAGCCACGCGGTGCATCTGCGATAAGTGGGGTTTACTACGACTTATAGATGATGTTCTTTACATAGTGGAACCAAATGCCAACCCCCGACTCCTCGTCCCAACCGTTAAAGTACCCGAGCTTATTAGTCAGGTACATCATCAACTGGGACACGCTGGCCAACAGAAAACTGAACACGCCATCCGTCAACGCTTCTGGTGGCCACTTATTCACCACGATGTTATGGAGTTTTGCCGCAATTGCGCTATATGTGCGCAGATCAAACAGCCTAAGCCAACTCCCCGAGCACCCCTAGTACCTATGCTGACCGAAGCCCCTAATCATCGAGTTGGAGTCGACATCATTGGGCCAGTACCAACATCGAGACGCGGGAATCGTTATATACTTGTCATGGTCGACTATTTCACCAAGTGGTGCGAAGCAGTTCCCTTGCAGGAACAAGATGCCTTGACGATCGGGCGAGCTTTCATCGACAACTGGGTGTCCCGTTTGGGTGCCCCTCTATATCTACACTCTGATCAAGGCGCTGCTTTCGAGAGTCTTCTTATCTCTCACATCTGCAATGCTTTCGGCATTCGAAAGACCTATACTACGCCTTATCATCCACAAGGGAATGGACTGGTGGAACGCACCAACCGAACCATCAAGCATCTTCTCCGTGCCTTTTTGCACAACGCACCGGAGAACACCTGGGACGATGTCCTGCCTCAATGCTTGCTTGCATACCGCTCCTCCGTGCATTCGTCGACAGGATTTTCCCCGGCTCTACTCTTGTTTGGGCGTGAACTTCGCCTTCCTGTTGAGATCCGGACACCGTTGCTACCATACGAGAAGATCGACTGTATTCCCTACGTCCGCAACCCTCGTCACCACCTCGACACAGCCTACAATCTAGCACGTCGACATCTGCAGTCTTCTTCGCAGCATCAGAAAAGCAACTATGATCGGTTTGCCCACGGACCAACCTATTCCCCGGGTGACTACGTCTGGCTCCATCGGCCGTCAGTCCCTGCCGGTTCGTGCCCCAAGTTCTACGCCCCCTGGCAAGGCCCATATGAAATTGTACAGCACCAACCTCCAACTACATACGTCCTGCGGAACTTGCGACGCCCCCAGGAAAATCTCATCTCAGCACATTACAACCAGCTGAAACCACACTGTCCAGCAGCTGTCAAAGAACCGTCGACATCTTCGCAACCGCCACCCGCTACGACCTACTTCGAGGTGCCCACTGATGGAGGTAGTGCATACCCTATACCGCCGCCAGACACTGAGGACAGTGCCTCCAGAGGGGAGGGAGCGATGTAATGATATAAAAACTAACATGACATCACTAAATGAGTCTCCTGTTTCCTCTTTTTCAGAAAAGAACGCTGGCCTGGCCGTGCTGGAACAGGTGGAGGACCGATTGTCTAACCTTGTTATAAATGACAATGATTAGCTTGTACCCGGGCAATTCGACCCCTACGTGCTGGAAATATAGACCTTCCTCTCGCATCTTCCTCTTCTTCCTTCGCTGATTGTGTCTGTTGCTTCTGGGTGTTACAATTGATGTCGGAGGTGGGATAATAATACTCTACAACTCCTTGTAATTCAATGCAGTTGGTAGTAAGCCACACCTATACGATGACTAGTGACACTGTGGCGAGAGCTGTCTGCTACCCAAAATTGTAGACACCAATATACGTCAATGTTTACGTCCTGAATCGGGGTCACGAGATGAAACAGTAACAAAGCCTAACCTTGAGCGACTCAACAACCAAACACAGCAGGCTTGGCGTGTGAAAATACGATTCTCGGACATATGGTCTGACCTTCAAAGAAACGGTCAAGAAGAGATTACAAAATAACTTTTAGCGAGAAAACAACCAATCAGAAGACGCTGTTTCTCTGCTAATAATAACGAATAACAATGTATGTAAAAATATATAAATATCTGTTGATTTCCTCAATAAACGATCCGTTGTCTGGCCCTCATCTTCTGTCGTTGCAATACTACGACCTGGCTATCACATACACACACCCGCCCCGAAACCTCGATAGGTGGATAGAGGGTTTCAAACGCATCACCCACTACTAGTTGAAAGTCGACACCAATAAGCCTCAGCTTCTCCACCACTGATCATGAGATAATAAAAAGCAATTCATATCACTGGCTGTC